ACGCTCCGCAGGTGACGCTGGCCCGGCAGCGAGCCCGGCAGCGAGCCCGGCAGCCAGTAGTGCGACCTATTGAGGATCCAAAGCAAAAAGCCGGTGGAAGCTATCCAGCTCGAGAGGGATAGTGTGTAGGCTTATTTGGAGTTATCCAGTTAAAATATGCATTGTGCTGAGGGCTGATGACTGAAAGGGTGGCCAGAAAAAAACTCGAGGGAAGTCCCCCCCCACACACACACACACAAGCACGAAGCACCGGGGCGGGGCCCCTCCTCCCTTGACGGCTTCTTGGCCTTGTAATTTTCTGGAGTGTTGATAACAAAGCAGACGCCAATTTGCAATGACCTTGAATCAGGGCGGAACCTTGGTGCTCGCGGGCGCGCTCGTCAGAACCATGTCCCTGGCGCGTCGTCCTAAAGCGCCCGCGGCACGCACGCGCTGGCACCGGTCTGTCTGCTCGGTGAAGCCCGAGGTGAGGCCCTTCCTGGAGCAGCGTTGCTGGCGTTGGTCTACTGCTGAGCTCTCTCAATTCAATGATACTGGAGTTTGAAACAGGTCCTACAGCCCCCTACGATAACGTGATAAAAGAAAGACTGACATGTTTGCCGAATTTCATTGGTTTAAGGTATAGGGCAGGGGACAGCATAGGTGCTGGGGAAGACTCCATAGAGCACTCGGATCTGGGCCGTCTGGGCATACCACCCTGCGCGTGGTGCAGACAAATGGTCCCATTAGGACAGGCCCTTAAACTGTATAGTCCATTGATGTCCTTCCCCAATGTCCTTCCCCGTTTGCCACTCTCCTCCCCTCTCCCTCTCCCCCTCACACCGCTGCTCTGGTGCGTGTTCCGCAATTTTTCATACCGAGTGAAAGTGGTGTGTGGCCGTCACTCGCCCTCCTGAACTTTGAACAAACCCAACGGCCCAACACATCACAGAACCCGTGCCTGGTGTGCCGTCCGAGTCCTGCCCACAGATCACTACTATGGTGATCTGTGTGGAGACTTGGGTCATTCGGTCCGGTCTCAGCGTCGAGGAGAGAGCACTTGGCGTAGAACAGCACAGAGGTCAATGAAGATGGGGTTGAAAATGGTTTGAATCAACAATGTCACCCTTGGGTCACTGTCATGTAACCTTGAGTGCCCAAACAAAAATACTGTGTTTGAGCCTTGCCACGATCAGCTGATAGGTAACGATACCTCCTCGTGCCTCTGCACAAACTCGCTTCTGCTGTAAGCTTGTCGCTTAAGGCGAGGTTGGTGCGATGGTGCACTCGCCTCCACCCGGTCCCCCCGCTGCTAAGCCCAGGCACTATGCGGATTCTTTTTGGTGCACCTATATCGTGTCGGTGGTTGCAGCAAGCATAGCAGAAGTCTGTAAGTCCATTTCTCTTACTTAGAGTTACATTCAATACCGAATAATATACAATTTGCATGAGAACATGTTTGTTTGTTTTGATTATTAGGTTATGTTCACTTCATCCATTTTTGAAGTTTTATACTCAGTAAAACACTTTGCTAAGTTCCTCTCACAGATTTACTTTCGTACTCAATTTTTTTTCCATTTTGTCTTTACTATACTACTAGTTGTGGGTTTGTTCTTCTTGCCCCCCTTTTACCGTATCTCTACACCCTCTCAAATCAAACATTAAAATTCATTATTTTATTATCGTGCAGATTTTTTGTTTCTTATTATGTCTCCCTTTTGTGATATTTCTTGTGTCACAGCCTAGCCATTTCTGTTTTCAGTGACCTACCCATTAGATCTGACAAAAACTCGACTCCAAATCCAAGGAGAAAAGGCAGCTGCTCAACATGGCATATCAAGTGTAAGTTATGTAGAAAGTCCAATCAATTGTATTTCTATGTTTTTACCTACTTGTTATTCTATTCCAATTTAGAGAGTCATGAGCTATGGTAATCAGTCTACTATTGATGTTTTATCCTAGGGTCCCTACCGGGGAATGATCAAGACAGCCTTGGGTATAGCAAAAGAAGAAGGTACCCTTGAACTTTGGAGGGGAATAACTCCAGCAATCTATCGCCATGTTATTTATTCTGGTATAAGAATTGTCACTTACGAACGACTTCGAGATGATGTAGCAGGCAAAGACCCTGATGGATATTTTCCAATATGGTACAATTTATGTCTCAAGGAATAAAAATTCTTATTAATGTGATTCAGAGAGTCCTGTCCTGTAATGGATTTTATTATGTATCAGGAAGTCTGCAATTTGCGGTGCAACTGCTGGGGCTATTGCTCAGTTTGCTGCTAGCCCAACTGATCTTATCAAGGTACAAATTCAAATGGAAGGAAAACGTCGACTTCTTGGAAAAAAACCTCGGTAAACTTTGTTTTAAATCTGTACTAGATAATGGGAGCCCTCTTCAGAACTTTTAGTAATAAAAATAAAATAAATTTTCAATTTTCAGAGTCCACAGTGCTGGGCATGCTTTTCAGCAAATTATGGCTCAGGGAGGTGTGAGAGCATTGTGGAAAGGGTCAATACCTAATGTCCAAAGAGCTGCATTGGTAAATTTAGGAGATTTGACAACGTATGACTCTGCTAAACGGTTCATTCTCACACATACAACCTTGACTGACAATCATTTCACTCACATTCTTGCAAGGTAAGGGTTAATAATCATGCACTCATCTAACTGACAAGTGTTCGCAGATTGTTCAATAAATCCTATTTTCCTGTTTAGTGCCTGCGCTGGTTTGGTGGCTGCCACAATGGGCACACCTGCTGATGTTGTAAAAACCAGAATAATGCACCAACCCACTGACGCCTTGGGGAAGTAAGTTAGATATTATATACTACCAACTTATATTGAAGCAACAAAAATTTACAATTGTTAATACAACTTATTTCTTTTACAGCGGGCTTGTCTATAAATCTTCCATTGATTGTCTTATCAAAACAATAGAAAATGAAGGGGTATTTGGCTTGTACAAAGGATTCTTGCCAGTTTGGATTCGGATGGCTCCGTGGTCATTGACATTCTGGTTATCATTTGAACAAATTCGTAGTTTCTTAGGAGCTAGTGGATTTTAATATGCTTTGTCTAGTGTCTTTAGTCTTGGTAGAAGCTTTATTCCTTACCAAAGCCCCAATGGTGTTCAGAGCAAATATTATTTTGTCTATAAATTTTTTTCAAAGAAGACTTACATACCATTGTGCTCGTATTTTGTAGCTCAATTGTGCGACCAAGTTTCTACAGAATTGATCTTGTTATTTACAACTTCCTTAACAAAGTTGAACAATGTTTTCTTTCAGTTTGAAGCTTTTGTTAGGTGTAGAATATTTATTATACTTAATTAACGCCTGGTGCGTGCATGTCATATGGATAAAATTTGGATTGTGATATGTTCTAATTGGTCAACAACTATCAACAGTGTTTCGGAGTATTTAAAAACTAAGGAAAAAGAATTTTGTGTGTTAATTGCTAATCACAGAACTAACCCTCTGACTTTGTTCAATTTTTGGTTCCCACTTTTTGACTTTTGTGTTTTACAATAGCTATTCCCGTCTTTTCTTTTGACAAAAATTTAGGTAAACAGTCACATTGAAAATGTACTATAACCACCAGTCTTGTTCTTATAGTTTACCTAAGTCTATGTTAGCTGTACTGCAGTGAGATCATAGTTACCCCCTTAGGGTGGTTCACAGTTAAGTAGCCAAGATGTTTTATTCGTTTTTTTTTTTTTTGACTGTTTTTTATTTCGGATGAGGAGTGGAGATTTGGGGAGTAGTGTTTGTCTATTTATAAATACGGCATAATTGCTTACAGTACCTTAAAATTTTAGCTACTCGTGGCTGTGAGTCATAAGTAAGCCCTAATTGAAAATCTGTAACTAGTTTATGTCTAATTATTTCTCATTCCACAGTTACAATGAAATAAGACCATTATTGTGATATGTGTCCCTTAGTTAACGAATAAGGCATGAAAATGAAGTACTATTCTCTCCATTAAGGACATTACCTTGTATCAGTGTGTAACTAGTGTAAGTGTCTGACAAATTCCTTTTATGCTTTGCTCATTATTTTAATCATTAATTTTTATAGCTTTTATTTTTATGTGAGGTGTTCTCTTTTTCTCATGTACTAGCCTTTTATAGCATAATTAATTATTTTAGTTTAATGTTTTGATGCATTATTTTTATTTTACTTATATGGTTTTCAAGTTCACATGTTTGGTGAACCCATCACTATTTTGACTTTAGCAACTGAGTGTGGTGCTCATAATTTGTCAAATCCAAGCACCAATTTAGCCGCAGTTTAGCCACAATTTTGCAACAACAAGTTGTGCTCCGATTTTCTGAAATTGCCTCCATTTTTCTTATTTTGGTTCTGTCATACTACAGATTTGGACTTCATGCCTGTGCCATACAAAACTAGTCTTTTTCTGTACCGGCTCTGCTCAAAAAAGCTCAAAATGTCATCATATGTTCTCTTTTGATTTGTTTAGACAATATAGAAAGGCGTTTGGTGTTGTTTTTGAGTTTTTTTAAGTGTGTGCTTTCATTATTTGTCTTAGTCATTACACATTGAATATTTTTCTTGTCTCAGTGTTAGTCCATATAATGTTTTTGTTGCTTATATTGTTTTTATTCCCACAAGTGTTCTAAAAAGGTTTTAATTTTGTTTTTAATGCATCAATGTGATTTTATCTCACTGTTCTATAAGCACACTCGTATCTGATTTTTAGTGTTCTCCATTAAGTTCTAGTCTTATTCATCTATACAATGAAATGAAAAGTAACTAAGAGTTTTGTTGTTGTGGCATCTACCTGTATTCATTGTTATTACTAAATGGACTTTATGAATTAACTGCTTATATTCTCTAAGGTTGACTTATTGTGCTGGCCTTAGTTTGTGCACAGCAGTGTGTTCCTTTGTGGATGAAACCTGATTTAGAAACTGGGTTATGGATTTGAAGATAGTCTGAATTTAATATAATGAGCTCTGTACAAGAAAAACTGCACATTAAAGGGGTATTGGAAGGTATTCAAAATGCATCTGTTAAGCTTCAACTTAAATACGGACTCCCCCATCACAATTTGAGCTCAGCTCATCGCCGCCTGTGCGGTAGGCCACCCAACTAGCTTACCTGCTGTGTCGGTGGTGCACGATGGGCTGCCTACAGCGACGGCGGGAAGCGCTGCTCTCCATCTCCATGCTAGTGGCAGCGCTGTGCTGTGGAGTGGACCCTGTGGCTGACCCGAACGTGCAGTGCCTTTTGCTGCCCTTGGCGGCGGGCCGCACCGCGCCGCGCCTGAGGCAGGACCATATGTGAAGCAGTGCGCAGCTGAGCTGTGCTCCTCTGTCACAGCCTCGTTCAACACTCGCCGCGTATGTTATAGCCAGGCGCAATGTTTCACGGCGCAGATAACACGCTTCTTTGCCAACACTTTAGACACTGATAGATGAAAGACAACACATTAGACAGCTGATGGATGAAAGATAATTCGGAAGCAGTGGGACCGACGTTGGCGTTGGCACGCGTGTGATTCCCTGCTGCAGATTCTCTGTGTTCTAAGACACCTAGAGCGTATCGGGCATGGGAGTGTAGTCTTAGATACTTTCTGCAGCTTTATGCGAATCGGCTGTAGAAATAAGTCCGCTTTTACCTCCCCTCCCCTCCCCCCTAACTCGGAAAATTTAAAAGTGAAGAAATATTTTTTGGCTCACACAACATTTACTTATTTGTGCGTTTTGAAGTGCTGGGAACAACATATCATAAGATGGCAAAACTTTTTTTTGTGTTCCTTTAGTGAGAGGTCAGACGGGACTTGTGGCCCAAAGTGTCGCTCTTCCAGCCACCAAGTTCCGTCTGACCACTGAAGGAATAATAAAAAAAAAACGTTTGCCATCGTTTGATGTGATGTTCCCAGCACTTCAAAACGCACAATTAGGTATATGTTGTGTGAACCAATTTCTACTGTCGGTTCGGATGAAGCTGCCTGTGGCCGAGTCGATTGTAAAGCTACAACTGTGTAGCTACAAACAGAAACGTACGCTCACACGCCCCCCCCCCCACACACACACTTAAACTCAAACCAAACACCATGAGCGACCCGATCAATAACATAAGGTATCCAACAGGTTTCGCAAAATTACTTGATTGCAATTTGAGACTAGTAATGACAGTCTTCATCGGGCGACCGTTGTCACGTCCAGTGACGTTACACAGGACGCCTTGAGGTCTCGACGTGACGTACGAGAGCCAAGGTCACGCAGTCAGTCTATCTGGAGGCAAAAGCACACTCCGCGGTCGTTGTCTACTTTGCTTACAGGAAGAGGGGGGGGGGTCGCGGTTAAACCATTTACGGTCGTTTTTCTGTATTCTGTACAGTGTACTATACAACGGGTACATGCGGCGCGAAACTCGACCTGTTGATATCTCTTAATTCACCGACCACTCAACCACACGTCCTTGGCGGCTATATATTCATACCCCTTTTTTAACTTTTTTTTTCAAAGAATTTTTCTCTGGATCGTTTTTCGTTTTTCAAAGCCGACACGGGGTCTCCAGGAGTCAGAAAAACCTGGAAGGCATAAAAACCTGGTCAAGGATCGTGTGCCGAAGCCGAAGGCGTCACGGCCGTATACCATTAGTTCATTTACTCCTCCACGGCGGCGACGGAACCATCAGGATTCTTTCGATTTTTCTTCTGCCCTCCTTACTATGCTCTGTTGTAACGGCAACACCTGAAAGCCCTGTTGTGACTAGTGCTTTATCGCCACCTTAAAATCAAAAAACCTCCGTCGTTGTGCTCTTTCCATATTTTCACAGACCACCTCGTGACTGTCGACCCGCGTGCGCGCGCGCGCGCGTGTGTGTGTGAGTGTGTGTGAGCCACATACCAAGTGCGGACCTGAACCTGGGCAAGTGCCGGGGCCAGCGAAGGGCCAAACAGACGGGAACACCACCGTTAGGTGGCGTGGCGTGGCCGGACCCGTCCGTCGCCCCACTCCCTTGAATCCGACGGATCCCACAGGATTGTGCTTTTGGGCTGGCTGGTGCAGGTGAGGTGCAACTCCATGCACGTGAGCTGTTGTGGGACCACCCGCATGAACATGGGACATATCGCGCTAAACTTGCCGAGCTTCAGGCGGTCAATCCCTCTTTTTCGTGCAAGATGCGGTATTTATTTTTTCCGATAACGCGTCTCCCAGACAGTACACCCGTTTTCAGACAGTCCCCAAATACTGTCTCTACCAGACTCTACCAGACTCCCCCCTACCTCCCTGTGGAGCAACGTACGGTGGCGTTTGTTTCCTCGAATCCATTCGGCAAATGAGGGGGAGCTCGGCGCCTGCGAGACTCGGGGTAGGCCACCCCGCAGCACACGGGTGCACTGCAGGTAAGATT